TAGTTAGTTTACCGCGCCGACAGGCATCTTATTCCAAGGAGTGGAATATAGACTGTGCTTATCGGACCTTTTGATAGTCACAGTGAGCTAAAGTACGTCGTAGCGCTTACAGAAAGCTAGTCGCACCCCGTCAAGTGTCTGGACGTGGTCGTGTGACAAACAAAAATACAGCTACCAAACGACACGCCCAACCTCCGACCTACAGCTGAAAAAGTTTTGCCTTACTACTCTAGGAGTTTGTTCAAGAATCTTTGGCATTGGCGGTGCAAAATGTTGTTTGGGAGTAGGTAATCCAAGCCATTACGACGGCGGTCGATGATGTAGCAGTACTTCAACATTCGGTCCCTTGGGTGGCAAGGATGTCGATGTTTTGTCATGCTATCACACCCTGGCCCGGGGTTCACTGCCTCCCATTCTACCCCTTGCTTAAGATCGGCCAATCAGCATGGAACCGGGGGTTATAGGTGCCTCGGGCTCGGCAAATCGGCCGGGTAGGTCAGATGTCAGAGTTCGGCTCAAAGGGCAACTGATTAGCCGCCAACAAATTGCGCGTGCAGAGGTGGCATTTGAGCCCGAGTTCTGGCAGCAGGAATTTATGTTTGCCTCTTGTACACGCCGCGGGTTCCATTTCAGAACGGTATGATGTTGGCACTTACTCCTCGGTCAAGTGATAGCCGGTCAGCTCCCGTCGGACAGGAATGTGGACACCTACGTGAAAGTGGACATGTATGGGCTGCCGACGGATATCATCAGGGAAGAATTCCGTACCAAGGTGGTACTCGTTCGGTTGGATCTCTCTCTCTCTCTCTCTCTCTCTCTCTCTCTCTCTCTCTCTCTCTCTCTCTTCTCCTCTCTCTCTCTCTCTCTCTCTCTCTCTCTCTCTCTCTCTCTCTCTCTCTCTCTCTCTCTCTCTCTCTCTCTCTCTCTCTCTCTCTCTTCTCTTCTCTCTCTCTCTCTCTCTCTCTCTCTCTCTCTCTCTCTCTCTCTCTCTCTCTCTCTCTCTCTCTCTCTCTCTTCTCTTCTCCTCTCTCTCTCCTCTCTCTCTCTCTCTCTCTCTCTCTCTCTCTCTCTCTCTCTCTCTCTCTCTCTCTCTCTCTCTCTCTCTCTCTCTCTCTCTCTCTCTCTCTCTCTCTCTCTCTCCTCTCTCTCTCTCCTTCTCTCTCTCTCTCCTCTCCTCTCTCTCTCTCTCTCTCTCTCTCTCCTCTCTCTCTCTCTCTCTCTCTCTCTCTCTCTCTCTCTCTCTCTCTCTCTCTCCTCTCTCTCTCTCTCTCTCCTCTCTCTCTCTCTCTCTCTCTCTCTCTCTCTCTATCTCTCTCTCTCTCTCTCTCTCTCTCTCTCTCTCTCTCTCTCTCTCTCTCTCTCTCTCTCTCTCTCTCTCTCTCTCTCTCTCTCTCTCTCTCTCTCTCTCTCTCTCTCTCTCTCTCTCTCGCTTTCTCTCGCTTTTTCTCTGTAGGTGCATTTGATGCCGCAGATGTACTTGTGCAACTTGAACCCAAAGTGATGCACAGCCATAGGCCCTTAAGCATCCTGAACATAAAAATATCAAGAATGCATTAAAGTTGGGAAAGCAATCAAGTCAGGGACATGTGCTGTCACTGCAGCAGCCAAAGATCGGGCGGTACGGTGTCTGGAGTGAGGTGGTCACATGGAGAGCGTGCTTGAGTATAATAATTGCAAACTAATAAACGGAGTAATTGCGAAATTACAATGCAGTGATGGTAAACGAACTTTCATGTATTTAGTATCACAGCTCGCTGGCTCAAACAATGGAGTCGTCAAGGAAAAACTCAGCAGACGTTTGCGCTTCAAATAGCCCGCATTCTTAGGATTACTTCTATAAATCAGTTTTCTAGTTTTAAAAGCGTTTTATTCTGCATAGGTGTGTGCGTGCATTGACCAACTCACGCTAGCTTTCACGTAAGCCATGAACATGTCTTCAATCATATGACCCACACAAACACGACCACATGTTTTGGGGGCAAAAATGTGCAGAACAGAAATCCTCTGAACTCTCTGGAATGGGAACACATCACAGCCCACGGGCCTGCCGATGACTGCCTTAAATAATATCCCGACGGTCAGGGCCGCGTCCAACCGGCCTACCCTCCTCGGACTTCCTGTCTTGGTGCTGGTTATCAGCACCTCTCTTGGCTTCATGCTGATTTTGGTCTTGCACTTCTCCTGTCTTGGTGCTGCTCTTAATCTTGGTGTTGCCACTCAAACCACCATAAGTGACCTCGCCGTTTGGTCTGATCTCGACGTCTACGACCCCATCTCCAACCCTGCTCCGTCGCCGGGGGCGTTTTCACCGCAAGTCCTCTTCTTGCCAGCGATCCTGTTTCCAGTTTCAAGTCACCTTCATCACCGTCACCATATTCCTTTCCTCCAGGCGTTCTCATCGCCTCACATGTCCACGTTCTCACCGTCTCATATGTCCTCGCCACAACTCTCCTTCTCTCAGCATCTCACATGTCCTCGCCAACACGCTCTTTCTCGGCACTTTTTCTGCGCTTGTCCCACTCTCACTTCCAGTTCACGCACTTTTCCTGATCATGTTGACATCACTAGAGCGCTTTCAATCACCCGTTGCGCTCTTGTGCGTGGTCCTAGCTTTTCTGTTGGATCGACGTTTGACCCAGTTGTGGGCTCGAAGCTCGACCAGGTTTATCAGTCGGAACTTTGCACTGTTCTGCGGCTGTTGGTCCTTTGTCAGTGCATCGAGCCGTTCGAAGAGCACCGGGTTACAGCGCTTTCCTAATTTCGTCTTCTCCAGTCTCTCTCC